CACCTCCCCTCTGGCCCAGGCAATGGCAGCGGCTCCGTCCTCTCCGCAGCAGATCAGGGACCGGCTGCTGCAGGCCATCGACCCCCAAAGCAACGTATGTACCCCCCGCGCGGGCCGGGACCGAGGCCTCGTGGGCCCGGGACCCTCCCCTTCCCCAGTATCCCTCATCCTCCGGGCTTCCGGGACCCGTCTGAGGCCCACCTGTCCCCGAGGGCCGCTGCCATCCCAGCCTTTCGCCCCCCCAGGCCCAGACCCGGGGCGCTCGGTACGTGAGGCCGAGGCTTCCGTGCGGCCTGGGTGAAGGGAGCAGACCGGATCTGAGGCCAGAGCTTTGCCTCCCTTCCTGCTCCAGCTCTACGGCCCTTGCTGCTCCTGACGGGGCTTACCCGCCTTGCCCTTCCCCCGAGACCCGAGACCCCCGGGAAACCCTCCCGGCGTGGGGGAGGGGAGGGAGAAAGGCTGTGGAGCAACTGGTGTCCTAGGTATAATTCGGGGAGCCCTTGCCACCTGTGTCTCGGTCTTCTGGGTGATCAGGGAAGTCCTTCCCTCTTCTCCTGCTGGAAGCACATTGACTTCGGAGGGGACCCCCTCCCCCCCGCTCGTTTTGCCCCTCGCTGGGTGCCCAGGGCGCCTGGAGAGGCCCCTGGGTTCTGGGAGTGGCCATGCCTTTGCCGGGTCCCTCTTGGGGTCGCAGCCAACGGAAGATGATCTTGGGGAAGGTGGGATTCTTCATGTTGCCTTTCTGGGCCTAACTGCCCATTGCGTCTCTGACCAAGCCAGAGTCCCACTTTTTGGTAGAGAATTAGAGCTGATTCTTTGCTATCTCTTTCTCCCAAGAGCCCTGTTTAGGTTGTCTCTTTCCCCTACCTAGGGGTCCCAGCCTGGTGGCTTGTGACCTAGAAGGTCAGGGTTAACCCCAAGGTGTCTTTCTCAGATGCCCCTACAATGAGGCTACTGTTTGCAGAGGGATCTCCCCTGCTCCCTCCGTGTGTGAAGGGAAAGACTCATCATGTTCTCACATATTCTCCAATGGGTTGCTGGCGATAGGGGGTCATTTTCCCCTGTGGCAGGAGCAGGTTGGTCAATGGGAAGATGGTATCCTGGTATGAAGTGAGTCCCTGCATTTGCTGGGAGACCAGGAAGTGGCCGTTGAGATCACTTCTTAACATGCTGGGGATGGAAGAAAAAATCATCTTGGGCTTGGCCAGGTAACTTTCACTGTTGGGGCTTTTGGTTTTCCTTTATGTGAGCTTGGCTAATTGCTCTTAGTATGCTTTAGCCTGTTTTAGTTTTTGTGTGTGTGTTTTAAATCATGCTGGATTGTGCAGTTTTGGTAGAAACTGAGGAGTTATTATTCTCTAATCTGGTTTCTGTGTCATAAGTACCCCTGGTCTTCAGGCCCCATTAAGACTGACTTGGTGGGAATTGCCTTTAACAAATGTATACATTTTTGTTAGGGTTTTGGGGGTGGAGTAGGCACAAGCTATGTAAAACCTTTCAGAATTTTTGCAATAACTGGTGCTACTATAATTCTCAAGACTGAAATATTAGAGGATAAAGCAAGTGACATAAAAAATGTAAGTCTTGATGACTTTTGCATCTTTTGCAATTTCTTGAATTCCACGTGCTTGTTTGACTTTGGGAGAATCTGAGAGTGGCTGAGATGTTAGCATTGACCCTTAATGCCACCTAGGAGAGCTTTGGGATCAGAAGGTGCTTTCACAAGTGTTCATGATGTTGTAGATTAGGTGGGGCAGCAACCTCAGGGGTTGCATTGTGTGTAGGCTCTAATCTAGAGGGTTCCTAGGAGTAGGGGAGGAAAAGGGACTAGCCAGAATCTGGAGGAGGGAACAAATCTCAGCTTCATATATCCTGGTGCGTGCAGGAACATTACATTCATATGAGCTAATGGCTGTGTTACATGGCATAGAATTCACATTTCATGTGGCTTGTTTTGGATGACTCTAGTGATAGGTGTGCATAGAGTCCTACTAAGTAAGTGTGATGGATGGAATTGGGAAATTGTCTCTTTGAATATGAGTGATGAGGAAAGTCCCTCCTTTAAATGCTGCCATTGTTAGTGTTTGTGAACATTGTTAATAACCATTTGACTAGAGCATGACTTAGAGCAAACCGAGTATAGAAACTCAGAACCATGGTGGAATAGGTTGCTGGTGGAGAAGGTGCAACAGTATGGCCAGGCTGTAGTTTTCTTTTGACCTGGGTCCAGGTGAGAGTGAGGTGGCTCCAACAAGGCATTGCTGCCATGCAGCTGCTCTTCTCTGCCTTACCCAATTATGAACTCCACTTCTGGATAGTTAGTTGACACATATTTAAGATGTTCATGGGGAAAAAAATGGGGACAGAGTTGAAGAGCCAACACTAAAATTAAACGTCTTTTGAGAGAAGCAACACAGAATTGTGTCATGTAATGCTTACCTTTATGGGCAGTTATGGTTAACAGACAGCTTTTGCTTGAAAAATCAATGTAGGGCAGTGACCTAATATCCGCAAGTATCTGAAAAATTAGGGAAGCAACAAAGTAACATTTACTGACCTCCTCCTTGACAAAGGAGTTCTTAAGAGGAAAGTTGTTTCTTTGCTCTAAATTCTAGCCTCTGGAGTATTTGAATTTCTGTAGCATCAACTCAGTACTGAAGTAATTCTTCTACACTCCTTTTCAGATACACTAACAGTTTTTCGGAACAGTCCAGCCTTACTCTTCTCCTGGTGTGTCAGCCCAGAGAATTGATGATCTCTCTGAGTGCAGTGTGCACATTTATTACAGCTTAATCTTGCTTCATTAGAGATGAAGTTGAGGGCAGTGTCTTTTCCTGCCCAGAAATCAGAGTTAGTCCACCCCAGCAGTCTCTTTAGCAGGTGATTAGGTTCCCACTTTTGTTTCACAAAAGTTCAAACTTTGTCTTCCTGACCAGAATGAAAGTTTTGTGAGCATGGTTTGTTTCTTTTCTTCTCTCTCTAGAGCAGAAGCATTAGGATGTACCTTCTAAGTGCTGGTTAAACTGACTAACCCCTAGGATCCTTCTTGGACTTATGACTGAGGAGCTGCATTTGAGCCATCTTTTACAGAAAAGCCCTTGTGACTGCTATAGGCCCAGGGGATCAGTATGGTATATTCTAATGCAGAACTCTGTAGAGCTGTAAGGAACATGGATGTTTATCTGGCATCTGAGTAAAGGTCTGACTGAGATGGTGAGCAATACTGAAGCCCCATGGCAAGTTGAATAACAGCACAAGGCAGGCCTTGCTCAAGGCAGGTGACTATCCCTATATTCAGAGCAGGGAGAGGCTAGAGGAGGCACTGAGGGGAAGAGGGACTTGAACTGGCCCTGGACGCTAGTGTAAATGCCTGCCAGCAGTCAGGCTCTTCAGCAGGAAACTTCAGGCATAACTTTCTTATTCACAGTTCTGCAGACATTAGTTTCCAACAGGAGGTGACCAAGGGGTCTCTGCAGAGAGACACACTCAAGAAGGATAATTTTCCCACCTAGGAATTTGAAGGTTAAGATGCTGCTTAGTTTTCCTGGGCTGCAAAGTGGAACTGGGGACCGGAGTATGTGCCCAGAAAGCTCCTTCCCAATCCAGGGTTCAGGTTATGGAAAGGGCAGCCAAGGCTAACATGATTTGTCTTAAAAGTGTGTTTTTTAAAAAAATATATTTTATTGATTTTTTACAGAGAGGAGGGAGAGGGATAGAGAGTCAGAAACATCAATGAGAGAGAGAGACATCAATCAGCTGCCTCCTGCACATTCCCTACTGGGGATGTGCCTGCAACCAAGGTACATGCCCTTGACTGGAATCGAACCTGGGACCTTTCAGTCCGCAGGCCGACGCTCTGTCCACTGAGCCAAACCAGTCAGGGCTGTCTTAAAAGTTTTTTAATGCAGTGTGCATTGTGTGAACTTTCTAAAATAACAAAGTTTTACACAGATATGCACACTTCATAGGACTTTGTACAGCATTTATATATATATATTTTATTGATTTTTTACAGAGAGGAAGGGAGAGGGATAAAGAGTTCGAAACATCAATGAGAGAGAAACATCGATCAGCTGCCTCCTGCACACCCCCTACTGGGGATGTGCCCGCAACCAAGGTACATGCCCTTGACTGGAATCGAACCTGGGACCCTTCAGTCCTCAGGCCAACACTCTATCCACTGAGCCAAACCGGTCAGGGCTATACAGCATTTTAATAGCATCTTCTACTTCCCCTCACCAACCCTGTAAGGAAGGTGAGTTGAGCCACCTCTCTCTCATTTCTGCACAGTGACGGTATACGCTGCTTAGTGAGTGTCTCCTGTGTCCAGGAGAGGACAAGATGCTTTTGTTACTTACTGACTTCATGTGAGGTGACAGCCCCAATACCCAAAGTTACTAAGTGATGTACCTCCAACTCTAAATATTACCACACTGCTTTCAAAGATGGAGAGATGGCTCTGAAGAGGCCCAAGAGGGCAGTGTCCTCGAGCTGATAAGACAAGATGTGGGAGCCTCTTCTCTCTCACATAAGTTTGTATGTGACTCCAGTAGTTGGGTTAGATTTACCTGTGCCAGATCTAACAGGTTGACAATATTAGGCAGCCTGCCCCAGAAACATCTTAAGGTTACTTTTAGGGACAGAGTCCTGGGCCAGACCACACTGTGGCCCAAGAGGGCAGTGTCCTCGAGCTGATAAGACAAGATGTGGGAGCCTCTTCTCTCTCACATAAGTTTGTATGTGACTCCAGTAGTTGGGTTAGATTTACCTGTGCCAGATCTAACAGGTTGACAATATTAGGCAGCCTGCCCCAGAAACATCTTAAGGTTACTTTTAGGGACAGAGTCCTGGGCCAGACCACACTGGTGTGGCAGCTGCCGGCTGACGTGGAACTTTTCATGAGTCTTGTTTTCTGCTTCCAGGTTACAGCAGTTTTGATATTAACTTAAAATGCCATTGATTTCTGCAGAAAAGAGGACTCTTGTAAAATGGAAGACTGCTTGTTCTGATTCTCTCCAATATATTAGAGCATATGAAATCTAAGTATGTCACTGCCTGATCACGCTGTTTCCCAAATTCAGTGACATTCCTGTC